CACAAGAACGTCGAATCTGAATCACTTGAAAAAACACAGGGGTGCTTAACTTTTTTCCAGGTGTATAGATTACAGTCCAATACATATTTAAACAAATCTGGATTACATGGGTATTTCATCAGTAGGGATACGTCACATTAATGAGGTAAGTATTTAGTGACATCAGTCTATCAGTTTTAATGTTATATTGTATGCACTACAGTAAAGAATTTAGATAGAATAAATAATTTGTAGTTTTGTACAATTTCTGTATCATGAAAAATATTACTGATTATCATAGTTATAGTAGTTTTATTAATTCCATCAAACTAGAGCTAGCCTAGGGTTGATGCCTTTTCTTCTAATTACCATGCTATATAAATTTGGCTAAATATTTATCAGGAATATATTCCAATGTACCAGGATTTTCGATTGTGTTTCAACTACTTCCTTAAGGCATATTCAGTTGGAGACTTAAGAATTTATACTGTAGCTAAATTATATCTTTACTATATAAAATGTTTTGTTCCTACTTATTAATCTGAACATAACATGAATTCTTCAATTGTTGAAACTTGTTTACAGGGTCAACTTCAATTTTTTTAACGTTAATCCTTCTTCTTTACAATATTTTTTTTCTCACTGCATTTGATTTAGTTCTCAGTTCTTGGTCCAGTTTATTCTCAGCATTATCATCTTTACTTTCCTGGCACTGACTGATGATTCTCTGTGAAACAACAGAGCTTTAAGGTTTTCAGTTATGACCTCTTTATTCATTGAAAACTTCCTTCCACTGAAGCATGCCTGTGTGAAAGTGCTAGTAGTAACATTTCTGTTAAATTTCATAAAACTGAAATGAGACAATTCAGAGAGGTGGGTATGGGAAAATGTGTCCACACAGTCTTTTAGACAATCAAAATGACAAGAGTTCTTTGTTACAATATCTTCCTTGAACAATGTGAAAACTGCTTCAGGATCTCATCACAATCGTCATTTTTCATGCAATTGCTTTTACAGAGTACACTCAAACACACTGCCATCATAATTGAGCATTCTCTTTGATACAACCAGTCCTGTGTATGGATAAAGTGCAAATTCTGCTTCAGTGAATTGTCACATTGAATGCTGTTACCATTAGTACCAAACCTTTCAAACCCATTGCTATGATAAGCTATTCTATATCCTCAACTGTATCATGTCCTAAATATTCAGATCCAAAATATCTTAACACACTTTCACTTATTCTCACAAGCATCCATGGAAATCTACCTATTTAAGCTGAAGTGGTTTGTTAACAGACTCATCACACATGAGAACAAAACAATCTTCTGTGACTGTAAATGTAAAGCTACTCCAAATGTAGTTATGAATACAGTTTTTCTTTGTCTAAGAGAAAATGTCCAAGCAATGCTACTGTTGAGAAACTTCATGCTAAAATATCACTTACTTTCACACAAGGTTTAATTTAATAATGCAATCAAGGCATTTCATTGCCCAAATAATCTCATCCTTTAGTATTATTTTTAACAGAAATGAATAGATTTGTCACAGTTAAGTCACACACGATTTGTTGCAGAGTCGGTACAGGTGATACAGCAGCAGAACTTCTTCCAATACAGAAATGTGTTTTTGTCCATTTTGACAGCAATAAGCTTACTTGTTTGCTCCATTTGCATGGATTAACAGTGCTCATAGAGAGAGATTTATTACAAAGTAAGCATTGTGCTTTATACTTGTCTTTAGGGTGTCTCAAAAAGTGAAGCTATTTGCCCCACAGATGCTCTATACAAAGCTCAATTCTGGGTCCCCTATCCATATTTTTGGCGGTAAGACTATGCTATGATATCTGAATGTTCAGTTTTACAACAGTAACTACTGGAAAACACTTTAAGAGACAGCTAGAATGTTAACTCAGATTAGTTTAGTAATAAAAATTTGTGAAAGAGAAGAAAATCACATGAAAGAAAGAAAACATGGATAATTATATACTCAATGGATGATAAGTTGTTAGCAAATATAAACCGAGGGATGGGCAGAAAAATTCTGAAACTAAGCATCTTATTTATAGGTGAGAAACTTCCGATAGTTTGGCTTGTAGTAGTCTGAAGGTTAATTTTAATTTGTTGCAAGGTTGATTAAAACATACAATGTAACTGAATAATGACAGTAAAGGGCAAAGGACCCTTGCTGAACTGGGGCCCCATTTGCACAGGTTGCATGTGCTTAAAACAACCACTGCTCTCAAAACCAATTCCTTTAGACTTCTTCCATCCAAGTCTAAAAAAAGTACATATTTCAAGCATGGTTAAACCTGAAATTATAATAAAAAAGTGTGTGTGTGTGTGAGAGAGAGGAGGGGGGGCTTTTCGTAAGAATGCATGAAAAATCCTTTTTATATCTTAAAATTAATTTACATTTTCAGTCATCACATAGCAGTAAATTATAGACTTCAAAGAACTCCAAATTATCCCTGAAACTTGATTGACTTAATAAATATACACAATCCTATCAAAAGTCATGGGACGCACCTCTGATTGGAAAATGGATATGATCAGCAGTCTGCTTCAGAGTCATTTCGAACTCTTATGCCAAACGATAAGTACTTGCAAATAGCTAACAGTTTCAGAGGGGAAGGATAGTAGGATGTCATTTTAGTAAAATGTCTGTAAGTGCTATTGCACAACAATTAAAACATTCCCAGATCGACAATTGGCAACATTCTGAAGAAATGAAAGTTCACAGGTGACAATGAGCCCAAGAAACAACTAGGTAGGTGTAAAATACTGACTGACAGGAGTCGACACAAATTGAGAAGGCTGGTTACCTCATCTCGCCATCAGACCCTAAAGAATCTGTGTTTGGAAATGTGAGCAGCCACAGGCAATCCTATAGGTGTTTCCACGACATGTCGAGAGCTGCAGCTGACAAGCCATTGATAACAAAAACAAATGCACCCCATCTATTGGCATGGGGCTAGGCACACCGAACCTGGACCGTGGATCAACAGGAATCGATCCTGTAGTGCCACAAGTCATGCTACACGCTCTTCTAGTCTGATGCATGTGTTTGGATATGGAAGATGCCTGGAGAACTCTTTATTATCTGAGTGGGTTGTCCCAACAGTGAAGTTTGGAGATGGCGGTATCATGGTATGGGAGTACTTCTCATGTATAGACTAGGTCCATTGGTCGCAGTGCATAGACCCATGAATGCTGAGTCCTACATTGATGTTCTGAACAATTCTGTGTGTCCTATATTGTGGCAATTTTATGGTACTGGCCCTTACCCTTCTAACATGATAACACTCCATGTCACAAAGCAAGGATTGTGAACGTGTGGTGTGAAGAGAATAACATTGGAACATTGCAATGGCCAGCATAGAGCCCCGACCTCAATCCGCTAGAACATCTTTGGGATGAACTGGAACACAGAATCAGGGCAAGACCAAGATGGCCCTCTTCATTAATGAAGCTTACTAATGCTTTAAAGGAGGAGTTGAGCACAATACCACCAACTTTCTACCAAAAATTAGTAGACGGTCTTCCACGACTCATTAAAGTAGTCATTAAGGCCAAAGGCGGGCCAACACGCTAATAATTTCTTACAATAAAGACATGTTTTATTCATAACTACCCATGTCCCCATGACTTTTGGTAGGATAGTGTAGTTGGATGTTTTATTCATATGGAAATGCTTCTAAACAAACGGAACAGTTGTTTGGATATAAAATGCAAGCAGATGACCACTGTTCACTTTAATAGTCATAAGTTGCAAACTGTGAGAGTGAATCAGATGTTTGCAGTTGCAACTGGATGTCATGACAGCAATGTACATAGTTAAAAACAAACTTCACATGGATAAAATATGCCCAGTCTGATATATTCTACTCATAGCAAGAGAGCTTGCTTACAATGTTGCAGCTAGATAATAGGCATGTACTCATTTACAAAGATCCAGAAGCCAATTTATCCAATTTTCGTGATGCATATTGTAGTAGAATGAATTAAGTTCTGGTGAACATACTGACCTCTACATCCTGTGGTATGATACCAATAATGCTACATATGATAAGAACCACATCCTAGGACTTCTTGCACTAGCGCATGATGACACAAGTGGCCCAGACTTTAACCTACAAAATGATAATGCCCACTGCCAAACTAGTAGATGTGTTCCTTGAAAAAGGATGAGTGACTTCACACCCATCAAAACTCCTCCTCATTAACCATGTACAGAGTGCTCTTGAAAGACATGTCACTAACAATCAAGTGACTCTAAACACCATAGATATCACACATAGGAGGACAAATCTCCTCCATCCTTTTCAACTGTGTTGTTCCCCAGTTTTTTTTACAATTATGATTCTTTTTTTTCTTCTAACATGTGGATTTATGCTACAAATTATCAATCTAACAGACCATTCCTGTCATGAGAGCGAGCACAAGAATGCAAAAAAAAAAAGTCTTCTTTGATTCTCCCATTATTTCAGATAATGGATTTACCCAAAAGCACTTATTGCTTCATCATTGGCTTTTAAAAAAAATCCTATTATTCATCTAGTTTTATATATTTAATTCTGTTTTATGAATTACAATAAATTGTTCAATCTTTCTAGTCCAAATATTGTATCTATGATAGTAATTAGCAGCCCTTTGGTCTTTTGTAAGAGCCCCCCCACACACACACACACAAACTAAACTTGAAATGCGATTTGTGCCCCCCCCCCATTTTTAAGCATTTAACATTGGCAATGAGCTACTCTTATTGACCATACTGAAATGTAATGTCATGATTCTCATGAACTGTGAAGATGTAGAACCACATCTATCAACTGTTTCATTAATAAATGTAAGTTGAATGAAAAGTCATTGTATTTCAACTCACATAATTAATCATCATTACCCAATTTGCAAATACATTGAGGGGGTGATTGATAAATCATTTTATAATATGTTTTTTTTTCTTCTCAAAGCTATAATATTAAAAATTTTAATTTTAAATTAAAATGTTTAGCCAAGTGTATTTATATTTATGTATAAAAACAAAAGATCTGTACCTTTCAGTCAGGCCATATGCTAAGTCCAACATATCCAGCTCTTCATCTGTGGGCTTATCTGGAATTCTATCAAAGTCTTCTTGTTTCAGAATCACATGACATGTTGAGCAAGCTAAGGTTCCTTCACAGGCTCCTGTAAGTTAAGATAAACATTTTACTATCTGTATATATATTAAAAAAACAGGCCTGTGATGGTTTTATACTCTTGTAATTTTTACATGTTCTACAGTAATTCTTGTATGCTGAATCTGAAAATAATATCTATTTTTATCCACCATGTAAAGATATTTCACAAAACGTCGTAATGCAGTATATAAAAGAAAGACCACAACACATAGTTTTGAGACTAAAAGGCATATATTTCACACACAAAAAATAAAATCAAGATGAATGATGATGCATATTCATTTGACATCAATGTTTTTCCCTTTTCTTCACTTTGTTTATTGTGGTAAACAAAATAATAATTTGATCTGAGTAAGAGTTTTATTTCTTTCCAATTTGTAAAAAAATCCTTATGTGATAGAAAAAAAGGAATATTATTTTCGAAATCTACATATCTGAATTATGGAAAATCCATTATTAAAACCAAAACAGGCTCCTGTAAGATAAGATAAACATTTTACAATTTGTAGATATTAATAATTAGCTAAGTTTTTCACATACACTTCTCAGTTTTACCCTAATATTCAAACTAAGTGTGCAAGTAAAATACATTGTTACTGAAAAGGTATAATTCTGCAAGGTTTTAGTGGCCCTTCTTTTGATTACATATTACTTTCAAATGTCAACATACTAATTTCTTAGACATACCAAAAGATTTTAACTGATATAATTAGGAACATTTTCTCTCATTGTAAAATAAAGTATTAAAAATACATGCATATAAGAAATAATGCTAAAAAAGATAAAAATTAGTATATTTGTTTTGATGGTCTCTAGAGAACCAAAGACCTTCTATGACATCACTATGTATGTAAGATACAAGACAATTTCGTTTCCACAAAGAGGAAGCATTTATAAAGAAATAACAGTTTATGGTAAATGTATAAAATAAATATTTGAGATATAACAAGTGTCATAAAACTTCATACTCAACTCCCCTTTAAATTATGACTCATGGAACTAACTTTTTCTAACATGTTCATAATGAACAGTAACTTACAAATCTCAGGGGTTAAGGTAGAGAAAGGTATTTTAAAAACAAACATAAGATGGATTTGTCAATAAACCCTGCAAGCAGCAAATAATTTGTACATTTTTTTTTGTTACAGAACTGTTAATCGTGGCAATATTTCTAACATTTTAAGATTAGCATTAGCAGCTATAAACAACAAATTTTTAATAATATACTGGCTTTACATTGGTATCACACCTAGAGTATCATCAGGAATGAAGACTAATAAATAACATTCTCCCTTGTTTTTGGAATGGAAATGGCTGGAGTACATCTTTGACTGCCAGATTCTGCAAACATACAGTAGATGTCTTACCATATCCTTCTAAGTCCACATCATTATTTATGACTATGTCTAATAGGTTTTCTCCAACTTTGCCTTGAACAGTAATTTGTTCTCCATTATCTTTGATGAATGTTACAGACACCCTATACCATAAAAAAGGTTTAGTTATTAAAAACTACATATACTGACTCACTTTTTAATATAAAAATACCAAGTTATTCACTATTCAGTGCATTTTTTTGATTATATGGTCTATCACTTACACTTGAAAGTTACATATCCAATATTTAAATAATTTCAAACACAGAGTTTCAAACAATAAGTTAATTCACAGTACACCATTCACTCCTATCATATTATTATCCTTCATAAAAAGTAGCACCATGTACACATTAACAATTAGATTGTGATCAATACACTTCACATTCTAATGAAATGCTTGAAATTTACCATTCAACAACTTCTTTGATTCTGTATGAGAATGTACAAAAAAAGTTACAGATTAATTACATACGAGATGTTTAGATGGAATACAGTGTATAGCATGTATTAATTGTACCAAATATAATTTACACTTGGATGTGATATCTCAGTATGTTAATAAATAGTGAAATAAACATTCTTTATATAACGGTTTATTTATTTATTTTCTAGAGGAGTTTAGTACAAGCCAAAGTACAGGCTCTCCTTCCACAATTGGGGCGGCATCACAATATGTTTGAAAGTGTTCAGGGTTTAGAAAGATTGTACTATTTAAGACAATTATAATACAAATACTCTCACAAAGTTGGAAGGGCTGTTAATTGGTAAAGTGTTAGCGAGTTTTTTAGAAAATAATATTGTACATAATGATCCACATGAACATGCAGAATCTTCAAATCTTTATTAACTTAAGCTAATGGTTACTTTGAAAATTTTAAAGTCAGTTAATAAAAATTAATTAGATTTTATCTAGTATCAAAAATGATCACTTACAAAGAGGAAAACCATGTAAAATAACTAAAAACAAACTTGAAAGTTATAATAAAACATAACATTAGCATATACTATAATGTTTTTAACTGACTTGCATATGTACAACAAGGGTTTGTTAGGCTGTTCATGCACACCCATCCTTGAGAAAATGTAAAAACTTAAGCCTCAACTTATCTTGCAAACTTCAGTAAAATCCCCCCCCCCTTACACTTTTTTCAGGAGAAAACTTAAGTTAATATATATTCGCATAAAATGACCCATCCCTTCAACTATTCTAGCAGCCTTTTTCCACACCATTTGCTTTAAGTCAATATCCTTTCTTTGATAAGGAGACCAAAACTGAATGCAATATTCCAATTGAGGCCTAAATAGTGATTTATAGAAATATAATTATCTCATTAAACTTGTAATCAATATCTCTCTCTCTATATATACACACACATATGTCTTAAAGTTCTATTCACTTTTCTACAAAACACTGTATCAATGGATTAAGAAACATGTCCACCACCCGGTCAAGATCCAAGCTAATCTTTAGTGTGGCACATTATCTAAAGCTTTATGGAAATTAAGTATATCAAGTCCATTCCCTTTCTATCATCCAGATAACATCCTCAAAAAAAGTTAACAGATCAGTAAAGAAAGATATTCCTTTAGTGAATCTAAATTTATTTCCTTTTGCAATATCATATTTCATTAAACTTGTAACTCAATTGTCCAATATACCTACATAAAATGTTTTGTACAATAAAGAATATATATATATATAAATAAATAAGTAGCTTACAAACTATTGATTACATTAATTGTTTATAGGCGATTAAATCAGCACTATAAAACAGTAATGAATTAAATATCATAATACCGTTATTGGTCCTGGTTGTCAACTTATTGTCATAACGGATAATATGTATGGTAATAGCACCCAAATGAATTGGGGATATCCCATCTATCAGACAATATCCAAACCCCAATATAAATCTTGTCAGCCGTCATGGAAAAAAATCATCAATCAAATAAGGGTACGAAGCTGAGTGCTTACATCCACAACATCTCAGCTTCTACTGCCTTTCACTGTCTATAGCCTGTTGTGGGAAGGCATTTATATATACAATCCTTCATGTTTTAAATTCAGTCCAGCATTGCTGTATCTTTCCATAAAGCTTAAAATAAATTGCAAGTATCTAGAAATATCTTTAATAGCTTAGGTAATATCAATTACAAAAATGATATAGTTTGGCAAGTAGACCACAAAGTCTTACAAAATGTTTTGGAAGTGTGTGATATGGATATTAATTTAGCATTTGTTAAAATGCTAGAAAAAACAATAAACTTGAAAACATACTAGGCTTCTGGGCCTGGTAATATTTACTCTAGCTTTAAAAGATAATAAGAACCAGACTTCTAAGTTATTTGCTTCCATTTCTGATAGAGACAGGACAGAGGCCAAGTGCCTGAAAATTGGAAGATGTTTAATACAACTCCAATTATTAAAGTGGAGGTGCAGATATGCATTGTCTAGGGAATCTTAGGCCAGAATATACTACTTCAGTTGTAAAAAAAACTTTAGAGCCCCATATAAGATGTGGCTTGACAAAGGGAAGATCCTGTCTTACAAACATATTACCTTTCTTTGAGGACACTAGTTCTTGTATGGGTGAGGGCAAAGAGAGGAATTAACTTACTTGGAGCTTCAGAAAGCTTCTTTTAAGGTGTCACATAAAAGATTGAAAAAATTAACTCAGTCAGAGCAAGGAATGAGTTGCTCAGTTAGTTAAGTGGGATGAAAGGTGGTTAGGTATGAAGAAGCAAAATGTTAACCATAAAACTGACTTGTTTTTATACATATGTTACCAATGGGGTCAACTTTTGTATCATATTTATTAATTTCATATTTTTTGCCTATTATAACACTTAAAGAATTGACAAAAATTATGTAAAATACATAAGAGACTCCAGCAGTAATTATGGGGATTAATTAAAATACTGATGGTATTTTTTGTGCTACTCATAATATTTAGGACCATGTAAGCAACAATGCCCCAAATTAATAAGAAACCTAGTTCATAAACAGTTTAAAAGCCAATTTGTAGTCCATGGTTTTTGACTGGTTGCAGTTGTGGATTATTGCTAACTGGGGGATCAAAAGATCTTTTAGAAGATTGATCTTTCTTTTTTTTTTTTTTTTTTTTTAGTGTTCCACAAAAGGTTATTTATCAGCATAAAAATACATTAATATAAAAATTGTGCACACCAAATATGCAAACTGTTGTTGGGAGGTATATCATTCATGTAAGTGTGCACATGCAACATTTCAAGTGAAAAACACCTGTATCAGTAATGAAACAAACGCAAAGCATGGGAGACCATTATCAATATAAACTGACTGATGATTTATAAAGAAATTACCAGCTTTATATACAAGTTTCATCACTGTTTTCTTATTTTCATGTGCTGTGCTTTTTGAATATTGAAAGTGTTTGGAATAGGGCTGTCAGAATAATTCCAGGGATGCATGGGTTATCTTATGAAGATAGGATGTGATCCCTTTTTCATTAGAGAAAATAATGGTAAGTGGTGATCTTTTTTGAAGGTTACAGGGTTATCTGAGGGATTAATAGGATAAACGCCTCCAATTTCTTTGTACTGTATACTGAGGATGAAAGAGCCCCAAGTTCAATATTTTTAAAACCGACATGTTAGGCTCCAGTTAAAGCAGTTTTATTTTTCTAGCAGTAACATGGCTAATGGACATAAATTCTAAATTTTCTCATGGACGGGTATGCAAGGACAGTTATAATTTATACTAAACCATAACTATACACAATAGAATTTGAAAACAATTATAAGAAAACTGAATGTTTAGGAACTTACTTATCTTTCTTGCTTAAAGGGACAGATGAACTAAATTTTCGAAAGCCTCTTGGCTTTAGCCATTCTTCTTGAATATAAGAGTTTTTTGAAATACCGCGAACTGATTTAACGTTTGGTCTGAAAATAGTAAAATACATGTGGTTGAGCGGTTCGGCGATGCTATTGACAATACCGTAGTTAGACTGGCATTTAATCAACTTCGCGAGAGCTTGAAATTGGCCTGATGTACGACACAACTGTAGACCTAGTTTTTTTGTTGCCATTTTCAAAATATTCTTATTTTTAAATAATTAAAGATTTATTTAATTTAAGAAATAAAATGAAAATATACTATATATAACCTTCAACGCCCTTATAATAGTAAGACACGTGATTGCGTACTATTTATTTGAGATTAGAGTTAATTTTTAGCGCCCTCTACAACAATGTTTATGCTGAAAAACAGAAGAACTGAAGAAAATCATGAATATTTAAGCTTATTTTATTTTATTAGTAGAACAACAATATTCTTTAAAGATGATAAATATTTTGTATATAAAAGAGATTTTATTCATTTCTTTTAGGTGAGCACGTAATCTTACTATTATATATTTTGCAGTTGGTGCAGATGAACTTAACTAGGTTAGCTTTATACACGCGACAATGACGATAACTTTATCAATTTGCAAACTTAGTACATTTTATCATCAGTTTTATTGTTTCGAATCTTACTTATTTTTATACAATGAAATATTTGTAGTCGATAATTAGTTATCATTTAGGAAAACAGGACTAATAAAATAATGCTTTCAAATAAATTATAAACATTTTCCTCATCCTTTGAGAACACATACTTTTAAAAACATCATAAATAAATGAGATTATTTTATCAAAACTAACAAGTTAACTTGATTGTTCAGTTTATTGGCCCATAGTATTAAAATCATATCTAACATAATCTGCGCTGGCAAAATTTTCAGGTGTAATAAAATTCACACACATATATATATATATTTGTTAGATACAGTTTTAGGTCAACTGAGGAATTTTCTGTTTTCTGCCTAATAATTAGATTTTAAATTCAGTAAATATTTGCTTAAATATGTACTTTTTATAAACGTGGTAAACTTAAGACACACATACATATATATTCATTTGTGATGAACATTCTTTAAGCTTCTCAAAACTAGATGATTATTTAATGTATTTCACCATTTTACTCATCAGTTGTCAACATACATTTCCTACTCGCCCAAGGGGAACTGAACTCTCAGTAAAAATAAAGTTGTATCTCATTTATAATCATACAATTTAGAGCTAACACTATGTATTATATGCTTTTTTATTGAATAATCAATTGTAATATCTATCGTAAGAGGATAAACAATTTTAAAAAATTCCTACATTCTAATGAGTAATAGTTTATACAAGTCATTCACATCAAAATCCTTTAATTCTATGTAAGACATGTGATATCTCTCTATAGTAGCTCAAGTACATAAAGTTAAAGAACTTATGAGTGAAAGTACAGAAGATCTATAACAATACGTAAACCACACCATGTTTGCTATACCCAATGCCGACGAAGCATTTCGTCCAATACCAGTGCTCATCAGACTAGCTGGGATGTAACGTAAACGATATTTATTGTTCCTAAAAAAGTTTGTATTTAGAATTCCTTATTTAATGAAATCTATTGTTTTTGAGATATATAACGGTTTTTGCTTCTTTATTTCTTTGCACATTAAACAAAAACCACAAATTTTGCAAAAGAAATAACAAAATTGATACAAAACGATAACCTGTAACTTTCTAAATATTTTACAGTGAGAATGAAAATTACAACGAATTTTTGCATATTTTGTATTTGCACATATCTGAGTAACCATTCTCATTCAATTAATCTAGTAGGTTAGTCCTTTTTGAAGTTTTACTTTAAAGCAATTGACTTTATTAACACGAATACACATACATTGTGAAACGAGGCTCCGAGAGATTGCTCTAATATTCTTCTGCATCACAATTATTTTTTAAGCACATGTAATTTTACACCGTGTTTTGTTTTATTCACATGACACCGGTACACCTCATACATTAATCACATAATATCAACCATAAAAGAAAATCAGATGTAAGAAAGTTGAAAGTTCGTCTGTTTCAAAATGATGAAAGTATGTCTTTAAAAACAGCTGTAGAAATAAATATCCTTTATAAGTTCCAAGTCTAATTTTTTATCTCGTGAGAAAGCAAAGCTATATCTTTAATAACTAATTCTTTCCTATCATATTAAGACCACTCTAGAGTTTATTTTCAGTATCAAAGGTTTAGACTATTTTACCTGTATAATTTCAAAATATAATATGTATAATTCGTAAAATAAACAGAAGACAGCGCTCGATTATTTTAACAATATCTATCGTGAAAAGAAATATAAAAAATAGTGTCAAACATAATTGCTAAGTACACTTTGGAAATGTATATAAAATTTTCTATTGACGATTTAAAAAAAAATGTAATTCAAGGCGAGCGAAACGATTAGATTTATATCAAACAAAGTAATGATTTAATATTCTGTGGACGATAATGTTCACGTGCAAGTGAACTGATAAATTATGTTTTGTTATTATCTACAAATTGCATTGTATAGCGCAACACAAAGCAGTCCCAATCGCATTGTTGATAACAATATTTAATCTAAACTGTTATATTATTTGCCATTGTTATCGCCCAGCTTCTACACCTACATCTCATTATTGTGTTGGTGAGATATATTGACAGCCTTTTGTTAGTTTTAGCACAAAGTTGCACAAGAGGCTATCTACGCTGTGCCCACCGACGGATCGGTGTCCGAATGTTTCGAACTTTAGCATATTAAGCCCTCAAATTGACTTCTGAGCCACTGGGGTGGGTACTCGTATAAAAGATTTATCAATAAAAATGATCAATAACACAAAAACCTCAGTCGCATCGTGTTTATAAAAAACTGTGTTATAAATGCAGATAAACATTTCTACAGAAATTTGCATAAATTTGTTAATAACGGTTATAAAATTTTTAACTCGCGGTTCGGAATAATAAAAAATAATTCTTGTTAAGTCATTCACAACTTTGTAGAAGAACAGTGGATAAATTAAACCTTGACGTAGAGTTCAAATTACGATAAAATGTTAATCAATAAGATACTGGTTTTTAATGTTCAGAATTTCGGGCTATTCAGAGGAAAATAAACAATGTTTACAAACTTACATGTTATTTAGACAAATGGAGACCAAACTGTATATAATTGTATGTCGTAAGTAATACAGACAGTTTCATACTATTTAAAGGTACACAAACTACTTGTCTACAGCTTTATGTGGTGTTTAGAAGAATACATATTATGTGGTCTATTGTTTTATGTATTTGACAGAAATACAAACTACGTGTCTACAACTGTATGTGATTTTTAAAGGAATACATATTATGTGGTCTATAATTCTACAGATTTTACAGGAATACGAACTACATGTTTACAGTTTTAAGTGGTGTTTAAGAGTAATACGCATCATATGATCAACAGCTTTATTTTACCTAGTGGAGTGCAGACCATCTGATCTGCACAATTATCTGGTATTTAGAATTTAAGTCTAGCTCCCCATGAAGTGTTACAACAGAATGATGATTTGCTGATTTTTCATTGGATGTTTGTGGATTTTATGTGAACAGCCATCCAATTGTTTAAGCTATATTTCATGGAAAATTGCTTCCAAATGTAATCTCATAACACCTATTTTTTATAAAAATTTTCTGGGGAGCATGCCTCCAGACACTCATAGCATTCGCATGCTGATTGTGCTTCGCACAAAATGCGTTGGCTATTAATCCCCCTTTCAAGTATTCTGCGTACGGGTCTGGTTTTAGTTTAATGTTTTTTTCTTTGTGAACGAGAACAAAATTTAAAATGACTGCTTAGAGTAATAATAGAAAGCGGCGGAAAAACGACCCATTTTCTTTGACTTGTCACATCAAATATTACATATTCATTTTTCAAGCTCTTATCAAAGGTATACTGCGCATAGAGAGTTAAGTGGCCTTGAAATTGAACGTTTTGTGCACAAAATAGTGCAAAAGATAGGATATTGTATAGAAAGTGCAAGTAAACGAATAATTTGATTGGTGATAAATTAAGCGATCAATTCCTCCCCATCAGAAAAACAAAGACCCAGAAAGCCCTCTATGTTGTGTCAAAGGTTTATGATAATAACTGTGATTAATACCCTAGTTCATAAAGACATTATCTGCTCTACGTCAACCATTTGTTATTAATATTAAATAGAAACTTCGTTCGTGCAGTATTGATGCAGTAGAGAGAGCAGCAGAAAAAAAGTTAAACTGAATATAAAAAAACAAGTTGTATATGTCAGCATTGTTATTTCTCATTTTGAAAATTTAACGTCATTGATTAAATATTAGGTTTATTCTCAAACGTCAGCTCTCTTTAATTTCCATGAAACATAGAACGGTATGTCTCCTTTTAAAGTTTTAATACTTGTCCAACAGAAATCATTATAGGTTTTAACTTATACGACTTTATGATATATCACGCGGTCCCTGAACCTAAAAGATATCATTGCTTTCCATAAAACTTGTAAACAGTAACGAAAAATAGTTCCCAAGACCAGTTAAAAAACATTTACAAATATAATGTGTAAGCGTCACGTGACCCAAAATCACCAGACAAGTGAGCAAGCGTAGTACATGTAACAGAAGGCTTGAAAAGTGAAATCACCTTCTGTTAAGTTTTCTTAGACTGATGATTTTCGGAACCTAAGAAAATGGTCAAAATTTTAGAACATAAACAATATTACAAAGAAGATAAAAATATGAAATTCCTAAATAATAAAAAGTTATACATTGTGCTCTTACCATAAGTAAAGGCATTCATATTTAGCTATCTATATAAAACACAAAAATCTGTGTGTTTGCCTACTTGTCCGTTATCTAAGTACTCCTAAGTCGCTGGGCCAATCTCAGCCAAACTTTGTGATAGCTTGGAACAAGGGGCATGTTAATGGGGGATTCACAGTCCCATTATTGGTGTTACTGAGTATTTATTTTCTTTGACGTAAGTTAACACTAACTACATTCATAGGTGGCGCCACGTCCTTACACCAAAAAACTTTATTAACGTTTCTATAACACAACATACACACAATGTTGGGGGAGAGCACACAGACATCTTATATATCTCAGAAAGTGTGCTAGCCACAATAAGGCTGATATAAAGAGCCATTTCTTGAATTATACCCACTCCCTACTTTGACAAGTGACCTTACAACTTTGGCCAGTAAGACACTTCTGCGTCAATTAATTAATCACTGTGGAAGGAGATATTAGGAGCTAGGTGTTGAATGCGGGTAACAGAAAGCATCTCTACCGACACTACTTTCGCCGCTACCTTTTCCTACAAAGTCACCCTGACCATCGCACAGTGTATACCATGTTTGAAGTATATACATATTGAGTTCTTAAAGCTTATTCAAAACTTTTGGTGAGGTAATAATGAATACTGTAATAAAATATCATGTTATGAATAAGTTGTGTGAAAGTTGTGCTATTTATCATAACACCCACCGCCACAAGTTCATAACCCGGACAAAGGAAGGGTACCTCAGCTTCTTATAGATAAAACTGTTCAAACAGTATTTTAAAACTATACCTCAAAATATTTCGAAAAACAAACAAACTACTAAAACAGAAAACTACGAAAACAAGAAAAAACATACATCAAATTGCATGGGTAGAATTGTTACAGTGGCAAGTATGATCCTCTACCAGCAAATAATGTGTTATATTACAGATAAGGCCGTTAAAAATTAATGTGTTGTCATTCTCATTGTGATATATATTGTCGCTTATAACACCTACTAAACTTCGTATACACAAGGCTCTATTAAAATAATCCTCTGTTGAGTAGCAGTAAGTTCCAGACTTACAATGCTCAAACCCGGGGTTCGACAAAGAGCAGATAACCCATTATGTAGTTATATGCAAAACCATTGGCAGTATCATGTATTATAATAATAATATAGAATTTACTTTATATACAAAAGTTTCACCTTAACAATACACAAAAATTTGGCGGAAGAAATAATTAATAATATGTAATATCCATACCATGTATTTGTGCAATTATTTGTTTATCATTGATTAATAATATGTAATATCCATACCATGTATTCGTGCAATTATTTGTTTATATTAATTAATAATATGTAATATCCATACCATGTATTTGTGTAATGATTTGTTTATCATTAATTAATAATATGTAATATCCATACCATGTATTTGTGCAATTATTTGTTTATTATTAATTAATAATATGTAATATCCATACCATGTATTTGTGTAATGATTTGTTTATCGATGAACTCCTATTATAGTTTTGGATCTAGCAGACTTATTATTACATCAAATTATAAAAATAACGTAGTTTAAATATCTTTATAAGTTGTTTTCGCAGTATGTATCATAAATATTTTATATGTATTTATACACATATATTGTCTGTAAAGTGTTATATATAAATAACTTTTCATAGATGTCTCTAGTCATCAACGTTCTAAATAATATTTGATGATGTTTATTTCACAGTTTCATTCCTTTTCACCAAAGGTAAAATAAAAGTCATAATTTGTGAAGTAGATGTCTAATGTGTTCTTTGGTTCGCCACACCTTCTGCTATGAACTGCAGTTCAGCCTATTCAAGGCTCATCAGCACAGCTTGGGACAGCAAACCAAAAAAATACAGTTAATTACCTGATAATAGTTATGTGTATATAATATTTATAGGGTTTTTTGAGTCCTTTTTAACTCACTATATAGTAACCTGAGCTAATTTTGCACCTATCTCATTATTCGATATTATACAGCGGCCCAACTGTTTAATGATTATTTTACAGATTTATTTTCTTTTCCCCAACCGTCTACTCCGGTGGGACAATTGTAAGTCTACGGATTTACAACGCTAAAATCCGCAGTTCGAATCCTCTCGGTGGGCACAGTGAATCACCTAATGTGGCTTTCCTCTAAAGTCAACAAACAAAATTCCCCAAACGTAAAATACAATTTGAGACGTAAAGGTGGTGATGAACTCAAAATAACCCAAAAATCCTATAAACAGTATTTGATTATCTATATATATTGTTAATGTCACGTATCGCACTTGACATTTCCTGTTTGAACTGAAATTTTATTAATAGCCAGTCATTAGTGTCTCTCTTACTGCCTAGTGCGGGCCTAAAGTCGTTGTTAAAAAATAAATGTATTATATAATATTGTTATTATTTTCCTTTAAGATATATTTATTGAAGTTATATTGTACTTACAGATGTTTTAGACTAATCATTAAGACAATTAATTTGAACCAGCAACGTAGAATGATACTAAAACAAAGAACACTTTAAGACAGCGCTTTTCTATGAGTGAATAAATAAATATCACTGTCATGACCACATTTGTAACTGTTTTGTTTTTTTTTATTTACAAAATGTCTAACCATGTGATAAAGAAAGTAGTGGAAAAAGATTAATCCAATCTCATTGATCTATTCCTTTGTAAGTAGAAAACGCTTCTATTTTTATCTTGTTCTGTGTTCTAGATTAAACCAGGAAGGACCTAAAAACTCTAAGTACCTGTAAAATACATATCTCTATGAGATTCCTGCTTCCTTTTTAAAATAATGCAAGAAATAACATTTAAGGCAAGATAAAACACATTTCAATCACTTAATCGGTTTATTATAGATTCAGAGAGGGTTTCATGCACGTGACCTGAGCTAAGTTATTGCAGTATTCAAACAAACAAATCAAGGCAGAAGCTACGCATACTTAATTCTAGTTAAAGATTATTAAGTTATTGCAGTATTCAAACAAACAAATCAAGGCAGAAGCTACGCATACTTAATTCTAGTTAAAGATTATTAAGTTATTGCAGTATTCAAACAAACAAATCAAGGCAAAGCTACGCATACTTAATTCTAGTTAAAGATTATAATTAACAATATAAAAGCTGTTTATAAAAAAAAAGATAAAGAATAAATTCGGATTCTATAATATTAAGCAGTTTAAATATGATTCATTTGACAAGTAAATAAAAGTCATGTTTCTCTCTCTCATATCCTTAAACATCCCGACACGTTTGTTTTTTAAGGTAAAGAACTTATTATTAACATTTCCCGAGGATTATAAACATTATTAAAATCGCAAGTTGATTGCAAATGTGATAGTTAGAAATATCATCATACTTATCAATCCATAACTAGTAAATAACATTTATTTATTTTGGCATGATTAAGTAGTTTTTAAAAAGTTTTATGGAGTTGTTATGCATGTAATTAAATCGTCATTGTAAGCCTGGTGTGAGAAGGTCGTAAAATTGCACTAATCTTCTACCTTAGACAAAAATTACTAACTACAACATTATTTCATAGCCTTATACTTGTTTGACCATATTTCTGTATCATACTCTCCTGTATCGAGGCCATATACATTACAAGAGGATGCAGAGATTTATATAACTTAGTAGAAGTTGGGAGTTTATCTTCCTTGAATATGTTTAATAGGAATGATCGTTGATGTAGGTAATTTATGGATTATGGGATACCGTACCTTGGTCTGTCTTAAACATGATATATCTTGATATCTGATTCTGGATTGTGTCTTCATCTTCATGTTGATGTGAAAATTCTGTTCTATAACCAAGCAACCAGATGTAGTCTTCATTAACGAATATAGAAGCCGGCCAGTTAAATAAATACTTGCTTATTGTATGAATAAAGAACATGTTTTATTTGGACACTTGTGTTTTCTTTTATATCTGAGTATAAATGATTTTCAGTATAACATTTCTGAAGCTTTCGTTTTGTGGATACATATAACAATCTATCAATACCACAAAGGTATTTGTATCATCTCACGTTTAACTGAACCAGTTACATTTCTCATTCTAACAAATAGTTACATTGTTACAAGTGCAGTTAAGTTTCTAAAACGTGGAACCGCCTCTTAATAAGTTTAATAATCATACTTCTAAAAAGATTCAATATATTATTGAATGTATTGTTTACTGGATGTGTTACAATGAAGAGTTTATATTAAATGTTCCAAAACTTAACGATCACTTGACTTACAGACTGCAAGTTCTTCGTTTACAGAGCCTAATTGTTGATTTTCAACATCATTTCTCTTGAAATATAGCAAACATTGTCGAAAATAAGTTTATAAGAGTTAAATGAATTATTTATCCAAGTCTGAATAATAATATTTAATAACCGAGAAATATAAGTTTGGCATAAAGCGAAAAAAACACTGGTAGAATAAAAAGTAAACACCCGTCTTTTGTGTAGGATTAATCGTATTCTTTATGTCAATCAAAGTTCTCCAACAAAGGCTAACTCGGCGAATTTATATGTTTCGTATATGTTTTATATCAAGTATGTGATGCGTTCTTTCATATTTGTTTTAAGCACCTTTTTTGTATTACCTTTCTTCAGTTGAAGCGGAAATTATAATGTTATTGCGACGGACTGTTTGACACTTTAAACAAAACGCCAATACTCTCAAAAATTCCTTTTATTATACGATAAAAAATGTCATATTTTCTACAAGATGGCAAGAAAAAAATGAGATACTCTCTAATGTTTAATTAATATGATAAGAGTTGTCTACCACACATAGTGTTTTCCGGGGTTATAATAGTGTCCGGCAAGGTTATAGCCGTAGTGACCAAGAGCAGGTAGACCAGAAGCGTAACTGTAGCCTAAAACAGCAGGAACAGAAGCATAGTCATACCCATACACAGCAGGAGCAGCAGCGTATTTATAGCTGTAGACAGTAGGGGCAGCGGCATAGGTTAGGGTGTGAGCAGCAGGAGAGGTGTAGGTCACAGCAGGAGCAGCGGCATAGGTAACTACAGGAGCGACAACCTCAGCCTTGTTGATAGCAACATCAGCAGGGTCTTTGGCTTCCACTCCAGGTTCGTTAGTCTTAACGTCGGCATGGAAACCTGTGGCATCGGCGACGTAGTTGACGGTACGTACACGGCCGTCAGCTTCCCTCAGACCATAGGAACCAGCCTTGTTACCATAACCATCCCCTGACTCTTTGCGGAAGGTTCCACCAGCAAGATGACCCTCGTCGTATCCAAAGTTATAGCTACCCAAGCTCTGTTATGACAAACAAAAAAAGTTTTATTTAATTTTTAGGCTTTTTTTTTTTTGCATTACAATATAATGTCCGGATAAAAAATCTATGAACACATTTATTTAAAACTATGTTTCTGTATCACTAGTATAGAGTTTCTTGCTAATTCAGTGAATTCTTATAATTATGACACGTACAGCAGTATGTTTTATTTATAAACTTACGTCTTGACTACGATATTGAACGCTGGCTCCAGTGTTAAAAATGCCTGGGCTGTAGACTACTCCGGCTTGGACAACAGCCAGCAGGGCACACAAGATCAGAACCTGATCAGATTGAAAAAGAGAGAAAAAACAACAACAATTAAACAGTGAATTTAGCTCATATGTTAAATACTTCCACAACATACTATATATACACACACATATATATATGTAAAAAAAATGTAAGATAAGCCCAAAAGGATCTATTGGGGCATCGGAAAACATTCCAAAAACCGGAAAGTTTGGTCACTATAAGTATTTAGAACATTAATTATTAAACTATAACGAATGTTCTACGCGAAGCATCTAGAACACAGGACGAAACATAAGTTAACGTCATAGAAATGCCACGAGTGTATAGATAACCTGCTAAATGCATAAAGAAGTAGATGAAAAATATTCCAAGTGGCAAGCAAACCAAATTCAATGCTTAGGACATCTTACAGCTTTTAAAAGGGTCATAATTAGAGAAAAATACAATGAAAGCCACAGTAAAGCGACTCGGAGGTATTTTTTATAAACGCACTTCAAAACTCTACAAAAAAGCACACCAGTGGCATAGCGGTATGTCTACAGACTTACAACGCTAGAAACGGGATTTCGATATCCGTGGTGGGCAGAGCACAGATAGTCCATTGTGCAGCTTTGTGTTTAAGCTACAAGAAACAAACATACTGTATAAAGAAAGAGTAAAAAAGTAAGATGAATTTTCTGCACATCGTACGGAGCTATGTAAGAGCTAATTTTTGTAAAAACAATGACAAATAATACAAGTCAAATTAATAACAATCAAATTTAACGCATTGTCTACACTTGATGAGAACGAACATAAACAGAAGTAAATCTTAATGCTATAGGCTCGTTGCAGTCCTATGTTATGGTTATATGTTGTTAAGGAAAAGGATTACAACAACAACAACAACAAAAATCCAAGTTAATATTCTAGATGAAGAACAAAACTATATCATCAATTTGTGATTATTACATACATAAAGATGAATAGTTACCTTCATGATATTATATTTCAGGGAACACCAAAGACCTAAGCCTGTCTCTTAGCTTCTGGGGTGTGGAGTGAAGTTTGAAGAGAATTTTTCAGTATTTATACTTTCTCGTGCCCTAGTTCACGAGCTTAAGATTTCACATCCGTGCATTTTGAGAGTTTTTCCACAGATGAGATCACGTGACATTCTTGGTATCAAGAAATAATTTTGTGTGAAAAAAAAGGTCAAGACCAAACTGTCTTCAAGAAAAGACACCTTTTGAGGCAACTGTTATGACGTTAAACTACCCATTCTAACCTTCAAAACATCTAATAGGAATACACTCGAAACGAATCAGCTACTTACGATTCTGCTAAATGTCTTCGGGCAAACTGCTCTTAATAAAGGGAGTGGCTGTGAACTACGGTAACTCTTGTGCTAATTAATACCGTGGTTTCACTTCACCTTGATCTGCTTTCGATGACACTGAGCTGGGCGTCGGTACTTACTCTAGAAAGTTCCCCACTGTAATGGAAACAAATATCTCAGGTTTTTTTTTAATCTTTTATACTTATTTTGTCGATATGTTTCAGTACTTAAGACTCTATAGGTTAATAGAAGCAGTGTTTCTACTCATTATAACGAATAGCAGTTAAATAGGTATGACTAAGACTCAGTTGCCTCGACTGACCTATTTGAATCTAGTCTGGTTTGATGGGGCTGTCAAAATCGGTTAATGAAGGTTAATCGGTTAATTTAATTAATAAAGCTTCATTCACAAAGAACCTAGCTGACTGGGCTAACATGATCGATAACACAGGCCTGCAAATTGAAACTTCATAAATGTTGTTTTGGTTTTAATAACGAATTTTCCATAATTCAGCTACGCAGACTTCTAAAATAATATTAATTTTTTTCTATCACGAAAGGATTTTGTACAAATCGGGAAGAAAAAAACAACTCTTACTCAGATCAAATTATTATTTCGTTTACCACAATGAACATTTTTTATTATTCTGTTTGTTATGTTTGGGTTCTAGAATGATCGATAAGACACTCACGTCGCGATTGACCTAAAGAAATCTATAGCCAGTGGTTATCAACATTTTAAACATAGCAAAACGTGACCCAATTTCAATGAAAATGATTCAGTTATGTAAAAATGCATATGATGTTTTGTGAAAAATCTGTACGTGATGGAGAAAATTGGATATTATTTTCGGATTCAACGTAGAGGAATTACTATAGAACATGAAAAAAATTCAAGACAATAAAACCATCGCAGGCCTGTGTAATTAAATGGTTTCTATCTTTTTTTACTTTTAATGTATAATTTTTGCTTAAAGATTTTTTTTAATATTTCAGTAATTTATGTATGTATATATATATATTGTTTTTTATATTGTTCTACCAATTTATTTATATCATTTTGTATTATTTTAGTTGTATTTTTCAAGTTCCATTTTTGTCCAATTCTTTGTTTTATTGTTCTAGTAACTTCTTTATTGTTGTTTTAATAACTTATTTATATTGTTAATTTTTTAAGCACCACAGTTACATACTAAAACTCAATTGAAATATTAACTAACAAATTTTCTTATTCTACCTGTCCTCCGGTGGGACGGCAGTAAGTTTACGAACTTACAACACTAAAATACGGGGTTCGATTCCATGCGGTTGACACAACAGATAGCCAAATGTGGCTTTGCTCTAAAACAAACAAACTTAGTACAACATTATAAGCATAAAAATAACAGATAGCTACAAAAATTGTGACTCACGAGAAGCATAATCATGAATTCCAAGAATGAAAATGGGAACTTGGAAAAAAATATAAAGAAAACATATTTTTAATACTCTCCCCTTGTATTTACATTTAATTAACAGGGACGTATCGACGGATAGTAGTTTTCCACGGCTAAAAAACGTTTGGTTGTTTTGTATTTCGCGCAAAGCTACACGAGGGCTATCTGCGCTAGCCCTCCCTACTTTAGCAGTGAAAGACTAGAGGGAAGGCAGTTAGTCATCACCACCTACCGCCAACTCTTGGTTTACTCTATTACCAACGAATAGTGGGATTGACCGTCACGCTATAACACCCCCACGGCTGAAAGGGCGAGCATATTTGGTGGGACGGGGATTCGAACCCGCGACCCTCAGATTGAGAGTCAAGCGCCCTAACCACCTGGCCACGGGCTAAAAAAAAGCTACTAATGTAGTACAATCGATTCACTCCAGTGTGGATTTACATTTAAAAACCTAAATGTTCAGGTTTAATGTACTAAATAATCATCACTTCTTCTAATTCTAGTCCAGAAGATAACCCAAGTAAAGTACTTGAATAGAGTTGGACAAAATCCTACTTCTTCTAACTGTTCATTTTCTACATATACAAACACAGTCAACAGCCCAATAAGATGAAATAAATGAAACAAAGGAGAATTTGATATTTTGGTTTAATAACAAAAAGTATTTAAATGCTCAACCACCAATAATTTCATTCAGGAGACTGCTGTAAAATTTAAGATATTACAATCCTATAGACAAAGCAGCGGTGCCGGAAAGACTATAAAAGTGAAGGGGTGAACCAAACGAAAAACTGGGAAATATTTCTGAGCGAGTCAAATACGAAAACTGTTACCTCAGTAAACATTTGAACGAATTCTCATTATGACATTATGATTGTTTGAGTCACCAAAAACGTTGAGACATCAGTACATCAAACTTTTGGAAAATTAAATGTGATGTATATCTACAAATTTTCTCTAAAATAAAATTACAATTGATATGTTAAGATTTTAAATTTTATTTTGATAAAATTTTATCAACATTTGTTATGGCATGAAATAATAAAAAAAATCCAAAATTTAGCCCTAACTGTTCTTTTTGGCCACGTGTTGTATTTTTTTATTAATATTGTGGAAATTATATGTTTGTATTTAAGCAAAAAGATACCGCTGTGCCGCCGGGGGGTTGTAGAAATAAATACATTTTGCGCCTACGCAAATACAACTTGTCAATAGACGATACAAAGATTGAAATGCATAGAGTTACAACTATTTTCAAACACACATTCTTAAAAGTTTGTTAAAATAATTCCTCTCTTCCTGTTAAAAGTGGGAGCTAGGACCCTCTTTTTAAATAGTGGGTGGGCAATGCCCCCCTCTCCAGCGGAAAGGAAATTACTGGAATTTTGAAAGTGAACGGTAACACCACTCTTTCTAATAGAGAAAAGTTATTACTGTGATTTTTATGTTAACCACACCACTAGTTTTGCATTAATATTGTTAACAAAAGTTGTCGAGCGGGGGTTAAGGCGCTCGACACGCAATATGAGGGTTGAGGGTTCGAACATGCTCGCCCTTTCAACAGTGGGGGCTTTATAATGTGACTCTAAATCCCATTATTCATTGGTAGTTGTTGTTTTGTTGTTGTTTTCGAAATTAAGCACAAAGCTACACAATGGGCTATCTGTGCCCTGCCCACCACGGGTGGTGTTGACTAGCTGCCTTCCCTGTAGTCTATCACTGGTTAATTAGGGACGGCTAGCGCAGATAGCCCTCGTGTAACTTTGCTCAAAATACAGATAAACCAAAAAAGAAAAAGTTGTTGCTGCAGGTAGAATAATCCAAAATTTCACCATTACAAGATCTTTATATATTTATTACCAGCTGACCTTAGTTTAAAACTTCTTATCAACAATTACACAACACACAGCGAGAAAAACCGCTAATCACATAATATTTACATAATTATCAGCGTAGTGCTTTTCACT